CACAAATGGTAAATTAAACAGATGCCATATTACTTTACCATTTACAACTCAAAGTGCTGTAATAATTACATACATATATACAATCACAGTCAATGAAGAAGGTCTTCTTGCTAGATAAACATTTGTAATAATCCAGGCATTTTTTAAAAAGTCACTGTGAGTTAACTGCATTTAAGTCCTGGAATTATAATCTGTATTCCACTTAAGATGCTAGACACATTTTCACACAAGAAAAATAACGGAAAAATACGGAGAAATTGCAAAGGAAGAAAAAGTTTCATTATCATCTGATTCTTAAGAGGAATATCTTTAGGTGATGATTAGGAGTCTGATGGAAAAAAGTAATTTTAAAACAATGGTTCAGAGAAGTTCCTAAGAAATTGATGCTTAGGGTTTCAATTTTTCTTAATACTCAGACATAAGACTTAAAGGAAATATATCAGCATGTTAAAAACCAGTTTTCTCTGAATACTAGGCTTATTATAAACAGTAGTTATTTATTTATTTTTGATGGAGTCTCCCACTGTGGCCCCAGCTGGAGTGCAATGACGTGATCTCAGCTCACTACAACTGCCTCCCGGGTTCAAGCGATTCTCCTGCCTCATCCTCCGGAGTAGCTGGGATTACAGGCACCCCCCCACCACGCCCGGCTAATTTTTTGTATTCTTAGTAGAGACGAGGTTTCACTATGTTGGCCAGACTGGTCTCGAACTCTTGACCTCGTGATCCGCCCGCCTCAGCCTCCCAAAGTCCTGGGATAACAGGCGTAAGCCACCGCGCCCGGCCCAATATAATTATTCTTTTACTGTTTCTATATTTTTCTGAAGTAAGGAAATACTACATTTACCGTTATAAAACATTAAGGAAAGGCAGGCCTTAGAATAAATAATTGACATAAAGACCAGGTATCCTCCACAGTCCCACTCTTAATAACAACTGCAGAGCCAGCACTAGCACTGTAGCTGAAAAGTGGATAGTACACACACGCTCACACACACAATGGCTGGCATGTAGTAGGCACTCAACTAACATGTGTGAAATGAAATGGGTGAAGATAACGTAAACAAGCCAAAACAACGAAATGCACTCTGATTTGGGGGCACCACAGTAAACAATCACAGTTACTACCACTTTATCAAAAACTGGCTGACAGCTGAATGGGCATTAAATGAAAGAGTTCTTCCTCCCTGCCCTCCTCTTTCACTCTGACACTAGATTGCACATTCAAAACAAATCCTCCCCCAGCCCCGCCCCAAGCTCTACCCTCCGATACCTCCAGCACTGGAACTGACACAAAGTCCAGGGCTGCGGCGGTGTCCAGACCCGGGCCCCTGTCCAAGGAGCTGCGCGCTCACACACTCGGCTGGCGCAACATAGGCGGGGGCACTGGGCGGCAGCCCGTCATGCCCGGGACCCCCCAGGGACCCGTGCGCAAGCCTAGAGGTCTCAGCCCCGGCCGGAGGCTGGTTCCCCTCGCCCTGCGCTGCCGTACCTGCACACGGTGATGAGGTTCCTCCTCTCCACCGCAGCATTGCGGGAGCTCAGGCTTTTCTTGCCGCCTCCACCGCCACCGCTGCGGATCCCGCTCAGGCCCCCCAGGCTCCGGGAGGCCATGGCGGGCTTACCCCCGTGCCCCTTTTGTCTCGTGCCGCCCCGCAAGCCCCCCACACCTGCTTAAGGGTGTTCTCGCTCGGTCCGCGACCGTGGGGGCGCGGGAAGAATGCAGGAAAGGAGCCTGGAGGAAGGAAGGGTGTGGAAGACAGCAGGGACTCGCACCCGGGGACTGACGGCTAGCCCTTGGCACCCGAGCTCCACACACACGCACCACCTCCGCCCTCGGCGCGCCGCCGACTGCCGGGCTGCGCGTGCGGGTCGGCGTCGGGTGCTCTCCTCCTTCCCGAGGGACCTCAGCAGACGGCGCGCGCGCGAGCCCGTCGGCCCCTCACGCCCAACCACCCACACTCCGCAGCCACTCGTGCCCCAGCCCAGGCGGCAGCAACTAGGGCCCCGGCCTCGCGTGCGCAGCCCCACCCTCTCTGCGCCTATCAAATCAACGCTACCCCCGCCGGATCCAATCGCGGCACCGGAGGGGCGGGGCCGGCCGCGCGAACTTTTAAAGCAGCGGGCTCAAGCCCCGCCCCGACGCGTGGGCCGCTGTCAAGACGCCGGGCTCGCTCTCGCAGCCCGCTAGCTGCAGCCAGTAGCCACGCAGGCTAGCCGCGGGGATTGTGGGATGCGGGGCCCCACAGTGCTAGGGGCAGATTGCCACCCCTTGCCTGGAGCCAAGCTTTAACGGCTGATACCTATTTCCATGGCTGCCGTAGCTTCAGTGTCTGCCTAGAAAGCAGCGCGCCGGCTCCCACACCCGATCCTGGGCCTGACTACTAAGAAGGGAGGAGGGTTCCTTTTGTCCTGACGCCCTCCCAGGAGCTAATAAACAGCAACACAATGGCCTGAGGAGAGTGGGGGGAATTGCTCGTAGAATCTCCTTGGCGCGTGTGGTGGCGAGATTTCTTGACCCTCCACACCATGTCGCTTTCACCTCAGCCTCCAGCGCAGCCCGCCCAAGGAGGAGCGCGGTGCCAGTGTAGAGTCTTCTGGCGTCCTGGGCCGTGACTCCGGTCCGGGACTGGGAATAGTAAGCCCAGGAACGACGCGGCCTCGGTCCAGACGGGCTGCTCCCTCAAGAGTCCTGGAGCGCCCTCCTCAACGCGCGTGTTCGGAAGCGCCCCCTTCCCAGAGCTTCTCACTACCCTCCTGCAGGAGGGTCCTGGCTTGGGCCAAGTCCTCTGACTCACCTAAGCCTGCTGTTTACCTCCCTTTGCACCAATATGCCCAGATTTTAGAGTGCAATCCTAAATGACTTACTCTCCCTGTGGGACCTAGCACGGTGCTGCACACAGAACAGGTTCTCAATAAGTGTTTCTCAAATTTAATTTGAAGTCACATTTGACATGATTTTTACTGAAATTTCATGGCTTCAGTGGCTCCAAAATCCATGTATCTTCCACCTCTGGTTTTGAAGTTTCTGTCAAAGAATGTTATAGAGTATACAGTTTTGTGTGGCTCTCTCTTTTTCTTATATAGCATCCCTACTAATGCAGGACATACTATTACTCTTGAATGTCTTAACAACACACGTTTGTGTAATAAAGCTGTAAATTCCTGATTTCTGAGGTTTTTAAAGTTTAAAAATCTCTGTTTAAAATAATCATCTTTTTCAGCTACCATATCTAATTTTATTCTACTATTCTGTTTAGTAGAATAAAAATATATGGGCCAGGCGCGGTGGCTCACCCCTGTAATTCCAGCACTTTGGGAGACTGAGGTGGGCGGATTACGAGGTCACGAGTTCGAGACCAGCCTGACCAACATAGTGAAACCCCCATCTCTACTAAAATTACAAAAATTAGCTGGGTGTGGTAGCACACGCCTGTAGTCCCAGCTACTCGGGAGGCTGAGACAGGAGAATCGTTTGAACACGGGAGGCGGAAGTTGCCGTGAACCGAGACTGTACCAGTGCACTCCAGCCTGGATGACAGAGTGAGACTCCATCTCTCTCTCACTATATAAACAAACACACACACACACACACATATATACACACACACACACATTCCTCTCGCTATATGTATATATAATGTCAGTCTTAACTAATGTGCTACCATAAATATTCGTTCATACATTAAAATTTTAAGAAAACAATTTAGTCAGACTTTACACTTTATCTTTCAAGTTAATAAAAGCAGGGGAGTTTTCTGTATATGGATGTTTGTGACTAGTCAGCGCACTTCTTCCAGAGCATTACTTGTCTACTCTCCTGTGACACAGAGGCTTATAAAGAGTTTTCTTCTCCTAGGAGCTACAACTTAGCTTGTCTCTTCTTGATAGTCCAACAGTTTGGGTTCAGAATTAGCCATCAGGAAACAGATGCACTGGTTATGCAGGCAGTCTCAGCAAAATATTTGCACTGGCAATGACAAATACTACTCAAATTAATGTTGTTATTATTTAACCACAGATAAAACTGCAGAAGGAAAAGAGTGGAAAGCCATTAGTTATCAAGAAAATTTCTAAAACCCCATGCTTGGGTGTGTCGTGAGTGGGGGAGAGAACACACATGCCTCTGAAGCATTTATCAAGAAGATAAAAGTGAGTGATCATGACAGAACGAGAAAAGTGAGATGTTACTATCCTCAAAATTGACTTCTAGCCTCCAGTACATTTTCATATTTGCACTGTGAACTATGACTGAAAACTTAGTAAAACCGCATCTTAAATGATGAGGTAATAATGTTATTTTTCAAATGTCACTCTTAGCGGGATTTAGTTGACATATTGGTACTTGCTTACCAAGACTGCTGTAAACAAGCTGTGTTTTTGTTTTGTTTTGTTTTGTATGTATGGCGTGTCATTACACTGCCACACGGGGGCCTTATTTGATAAGACTTTTCTCACTTATCCTAAGCAGTATGTCCTGGGTCTCTTTCTCCCTCTAGATTACTAATCTGGATATTGTCAATCAATTTATTCAGTACACAGCATAATAATATTATAGAGCTCCATGAGTTCCACATCACTTTTTGGACTTCTTTTGGAACCTATTTCAATTATTTTTTTTTATTTAAGCATTGCACAAAGGTTATTCAAAGATTTCACAAAGATTCACGATAAAAATTTTGAAAACAGTAGATACATAAATAAACTTACAGGAATTCCGTAGAACTGAATGGGCAGAACATACCCATTCACCATTTTCCCAACTTCCTTCTTCTAATCGAAACAGACGAAATTACAAGTGCAACATATAAAATGTCCTCAAATATAAAATACTATAAAATGTAAATATAAAGTGCTATAAACCAGAGAGATTACCAAACCATAGTTTATTCTAGTCTCAGAGAAGTGGACTTTTTAAATATGCCATAAACCCAGCATCTGTACAGAAGAAACTAGAAACATTGAAGATGTAATTTTTAAAAATTTTTATTTTACTTTGACGTCAGATGGGTAATATGCTGACATCATAACGAGGATTGAGTGAGGCACACCTCACTCAATGTGTGTGAAAGCTCAGTCATCACGCTTATGAACCACAAATGGATAGATACAAATTTTTTCAAATCCACAAATCAAGCATCATCATAAGCAAAATCAAAAGCAAATGAGACCGAGAAAACATTTTTAAAACTCAAATCATAGACAAAGAGCTAATTTCCTCTATAAAGTACTCCTGCAGATCAATAAGCACTGTTTCAGTGGCACAATGAAGGTGAAAGCCAAATTCCAGTGAGTAAAAAAGTCAGTGGGAAGTGAGTATCACGCAATCTTAAAAAGTTGTGAAGGGGGAGAAAAAAAGAGTGGTGGTGTGGAGGAATATTGAACAGAAGGATGTTGGTGTTTTATTGCTATTGTGTCATTATTTTTCACAGAAGTGACTTGAGCATATTTTAAAGCTGATGCAGTGAATCTACTGGGAGGGAAAGGTTAGTAATACAAGAGAGAAAAAAACGATCAGAAGTGAGCATGAAGAAAATGGATGAAAATTGCTTTTAAAAAAAGTCCATTTGAGAGTAAGTCAAGAGAAGCAGAACACTCAGGGGAGATAGGGGTTTCTGCTGAGAAGAGGAAGCGGAAAGACCACTCCAAAGAATTGGAGAATGCAAGAAAGTATTGGTCATAGAGCAAAAGTTCCAGAGAGCATCATGGAAGGGAGTGCAGACAGCGTCATGGGCAAGGAAGCGCAAGGCATGCTCATTAATAGGGTATGGATGGTGAGATGGGTACTACAGGCTATGATACACGCATAAAGAGGAGTACCTTGATGGATCTCATGAACTGTTCTTTGAAAAAAGTCATTGGTTAAAGGCTGATCGAAACAAGGTGGATGTGGTCTTACAGTCTCTTTGAGGAGGGCAAATACTGACCCTCAGTTCAGAGGATATTTTTCTTTTTAAATTTTGTATCATGTAGAAGGGCGTTAACAAACTAGAAATTATATATAAACTCCAGACATTGTATGGATTGCATCAATTAATCGTGAGAACCATTCTCTAAAATAAGTATTGTTAATATTCTCCCATTTACATACAAGGATACAGAGACTTGGAGACATTAAGTAACATATAGAAAGTCACACAGTAAACGGCAGAGCCAGGATCGAAATCTAAATCATTAGATAGAAAATCTATTATTTTTAAAATTTATTATTTTAAAGACACAGGGTCTTACTCTGTGGCCCAAGCTGGAGTACAGTGGGTAATCATAGCTTACTTCAGCCTTGAACTCCTGGGCTCAAGGGATACTCAAGGGCTCAGCCTCCTGAGTAGCTGGGACTACAGGCATGCACCACCACAGCTGCCTAATTTTTTTAAATTTTTAAAATTTTTTATTGAGACAAGGTCTCACTATGTTGCCCAGATTGCTCATGAACTCCTGGCCTCATATGATCCTCCCTTCTTGGCCTCCCCAAGTGCGGGGATTACAGGCATGTACCACCACAACTGGCTCATAATCTATTGTTTTTTCTAACATGTTTCACTGCCTTTTTGAGAAAGTAACTCCAGATGAGGCTTAAACACAAAACTCCCATATTGTACACATGGTTCTTAAGAATCAGGAAGGATTTTACACACTGATCAACTGTGTCACTCATGGAATGTAGTCTCTAGATAATTCTGGAGCTCAGGCTTTCATTTTTTATTCAGAAAGTGTATTCTGAATCAAAAGATATACACAATTTTAACCACAAATTAAATTTTTTCCTAGAGATGTTTTACCAATTTACATCCTACTAACAGTACGTAAGTTTTCTTACATTCTTGCTCACTCTAGGAACTATTGTTCTTTTTATTGTTTTTCCACATAAGTAAAGAGCAATATCTTTTTGATATTTTAACTTTTTTTATTAGTAATGAAAATGCACATTTATTTCATGTGCTTATTATTCATTTATGTTTTTGCCTGTTCATGCCCTTTGCCCATATTTTCCAACAAATATTAGTCTTCATTGTAGTGGCTCATCATCATATCTGTTTATTGTATGTATGGCAAATACTTCTCCCAGTTCGTTGTTTGCCTTACCTATGGTGTGAGTTATTTATAAAGAGATGTTTAAAATATTTTATATAAATGAAATTCATCAATATTTTCCTTTATTGGTTTTTCCTTTGATCATTTTAGAATAGCCTTTGCCACCTCTAAGTTTATATACTTTATGGTTTCTTTTTTATATCAAAAATAGTTAAGCTATTTGCACTATATGAAAGTATGAAATTAGGATATAATTTCAGTGTTCCAATGATTAACCATGGTCCCAATTCTATTTATTAAATGATTCATCTTGGCCTTACTGCCAATATTAAATGTATTATAAAATAATTAAATAGCAAGGTTGCATTCCAATAAAGAATTGTGCTCATGATAATAAATCCATAGAAACAGCTAACATTAGTGTTTCACAACAACTTTTTTTCTGGATAGGTCTCCAGACATACAAAAGAGAAAAATGTACTTAATTTTACCTAAATCGGTTTATTCTACACACAGTCAATATATTTTCTCATCAATATGTTACTCTGTGTTTGTATTTGTTTATAATATTTTGTTTCCTATAGAAATTTTGAATTTTTATGCAATCAAATTTTTGTTTTTTTTAATAATTTCTGGTGTTCACACAATGCTTAGAAAAACTTCCATATGCTTAGATAATACGAATGTTTACCAATTTTTCTGTAATATTTATTTTTCTTTTTGCATTTGCATGTTTGATATTTATAGAACTTATCGTTGTGTAAGAGTCAATTGGTGAAAGAGCCTAATCTTTCCAAACAGTCAATAGTTATCCAATGCTAGTATCAAATAATGCATCCTTTCCCACTGATATAAATGCTACCTTTGTCAGGTACTAAATGTATACAATTTTATCTACTGCTGGATTTTCTATTCTTATCCATTGATTTATCATTTATGAGCTAGTGGTACCAAAATCTAATAAGTGGCAAAGCCTGGTAATTATTTTTAACATTTTGTAAGGTTAGTATTCCCCAATTGTTCTCTCTCAGAACGTTCTTAGGTAATTCTGGAATATCTGTTCTTCCTAACATAAGAATCATTTTGACACATCCTTCCCACCAAGAAAAGCCTATAGGGATTCTGATTAAAATTGCTTGGCATTTATAGATAAGGTAAAATTAACATCTTCCCAATATTTGCAATGATCTAAGATGACAGTGTGTCTATTTCTTCATGTATTTTTTTTGGTTTTGTTTCACTTGGTGGCATTTTGTAGTTTTATCGTGGAGTTTCAGACTGATATTATGAGTAGGGTTTTTTGTATCAGTAGGGTTCTTTTTTCCACTATACTTCCTAAATAGTTACAGTATTTACACAGGAAAGCTATACATTTTTGCACAATCACCTTTTAACATGTATTTTTTGTTTGTAATAGATTTTCAGATTCTATTGGTTTGATTTTTATGCAGTCAAATTTTTGTATTTTTAACTTTTATAATTTTTTGTTTTCACATGAATCTTAGAAAAGCTTTGTATGCTTAGATTATAAAAGTGTTTACCCAGTTTTTTTTTGTTATGATTCTATTGGTTTTCCAGGCACTAGCTCAGAAAAAGAAAGACTAATGGTGAAGTTAGTGGAACACCACATAAATCTCTTTAACATTAAGAATTTGCTTTCATAACTAAAATGTGGGAATACCAATTCCACAAAGTAATTTTCTGTAAATTATCTTATGCAACAGATTCAAATGTAAGCTCTTTAGAAAAAAAAAATCCTATTGAAGATATTTTGGCAAAGACTTTTAAACATCAGTCAGAAACGAGTTACTCGCCTGTAATCCCAGCACTTTGTGAGGCCAAGGCGGGTGGATCATGAGTCATGAGGTCAGGAGTTCGAGACCAGCCTGACCACAATGGTGAAGTATCGTCTCTACTAAAAATACAAAAATTAGCTGGGCATGGTGGCATGTGCCTGTAGTTCCAGTTATTCAGGAGGCTGAGCAGAAGAATTGCTTGAACCCGCGAGACGGAGGTTGCAGTGAGCCAAGGTCACGTCATTGCACTCCAGCTTGGATGACAGAGCAAGACTCTATCTAAAAAATAAAGAAAAAAATGAGTTACTCACAAACGCCTAAACAGGATTTTCAGCCATGAGATCAAGAAAATCTTGTTTTGATTTTTCCTATGGATAGACTAAATGAGACTCTTTCTCATAATTTTAAAGAAAATGTTGTCTCAGTAATCCATAAGGTTAAGAGAATTAAAAGACATTTTAGTACCAATTTACTATATCCATGGCTGAATTCTGCTTATGCAAGCTTAAAATATAACAAAATGACAATGATATTAATGATCGCCCCTTGAACTTTCAGGGTCAAAATATGTCAAAATGACAATGGCATTAGTGATTCCCCTTGAAATCTCAGGGTCTATTTATTCATTTATGTATTTATATATATACATGTGTTTGTATGTATATATAAAAAATAAGTTTGCAGTCACTAAGATTTCTGCTTAGCGTTCAAAAATTGGACAGCGGCAGCGTTCAACTCATAAATTTGGCCAAGTATATTTACCTGTGTCAACCAATAAACCTTAGTAAGGAAAAGAAGAATATTGTGGTTGTCATTCAGATATTTGTCAAGCTTACCTTTTTTTTTTTTGAGATGGAGTTTGGCTCTATCACCCAGGCTGGAGTGCAATGGCACAATCTTGGCTCACTACAACCTCTGCCTCCTGGGTTCAAGTGATTCTCCTGCCTCAGCCTCCTGAGTATCTGGGATTACAGGTATGTGCCACCATGCCCAGCTATTTTTTGTATTTTTTGTAGAAGTGGGGTTTTGTCATGTTGAACAGGCTGATCTCAAACTTGTGGCCTCAAGTGATCTGCCCCCTTGGCCTCCCAAAGTGCTGAGATTACAGGTGTGAACCACCACGCTCAGCCAAGCTTATATTTAATTCATTGTGGTTTATATAATTGACCTTGACAGTGAGGTTAATATCTTCTCAAATATTTCTTGACAAAATTTGGAAGCCAATGTTTAATGGTTATATTAGTTTTCTATTGTTGTATAACAAATTACACAAACAT